AAATAGAGCGACCCAACGGTTGCAAAACGAGGAAGAGCTGAATTTTGGTGCTAAATTAATTAAAAAATCTCCATTCATTCTTTGTTTCATATTGCACTGCAATTTTGTGTATTGGCAAGAGATGCTCTGCAAGGGAAAGGACTCCATTCATACGCACTGGGTTAAAATGGTATCAAAGACACACAACATAAACACAGACCAGAAGTCCGATTTCCTCACTCCAGGAAGACATGACACACAAAGAAACTCAGAGACAAACAGGAAAAATACCTAAAAATAAACCAAAACATCCCAAGTGCCACTCGACAACATTTGAAAAGGTTAAAAACGCAATGAAACCTCATGTTTTAGGGCACAGGCTGAGAGGGGTCGGGAAGCAACTCCACTTGAGGACAACCTGCTCCTCTTCCACCTTCTCCAAAGAATGCGGCGCTGGGGTCGGATCAATCCCACTTAAATACAACCCCAGAGGAATCTCAGATTGATCTTCACCACCCACAAAGGGCCCTGAATGACTAACACAGAGCCAAGGCTGGATCTGGGCTGTGGCCAAGAGGATCCATGTCCCACCTCTGGCATTAACTTCGGAGAGGCTCATCCGGAGCCGTTCCGTGACACACCTGCCTTTGCTCTTAGCTGGAATTGCCAGGTTTTACTGCACTCCTGGAGCACTGGACAACGTCCCTGTGCTCTGGATGAAAGGCTTTGTCACACTCGTATTTGGCAATGAAGAGACCACTTTTAATTTTCAGAATTAAATCAGGAAAATCCTCATCCCTCTCTCCTTTATCTCCTTCCACTGAGAAGGAAGAACTGAGGCTGCTGCTCATGGTACAGGAAGTTTTGGCTTCTCCAAAGCAACACAAAAGACTCCCAAACCAGTCTCTTTACAGAGATAGGAGCGCTAGAGCTACAAAAAATTCCATAGCATTCCTGAGCCTTCCTGATCCAGTCAGCATTTCATGCTAAATTGCTAAATCAGCAAAATACGAGAGCACAAATCTAAATTTAGGACTATTAATTGAATTGCTTCAGCAATTCCTTCTCTGCTGAAAAGCGGACAATATTCCCACCAAGGCCTCATCCAGCCTGTTCTCTTCGGAAGTGGCTTCTCAGGGAAACCTTCTGAAGAGTTTTAGAGATTCTAGAATATTATTATTAATTATATTTATTAAGTAAATGATTCTTCTTCTTCATCTCGCTTTTTTCGCCTAGTTAATAATATTCTGCTTACACCAAGATAATCTAGTGAAAACTCACTATTTTTCACTGAAAAGTAACAAAAAAACCCAAAACTATGCAGCATGGGACAGAAGAAAATATTAAAATACTTCCAAGCTATCAGAGCAAGTGGAGATTAATTAATTAATAATGTTACATTTATCTAATGACTATTCAAAGGTCAAGAAAAGGTCTGGTTTGATGCAGTGTCAAAAAAAAAAAAATTAATGTACAGAAGGGACTACAAATAACTTGTTATTTAACAAGTATTTAAAGGAGAGGTTGAAAAGATGATACACTGTGTAAAACCCCAAATCTCACCCCCCAAAACACACAGAAATTCCAACTGAAGATGCCAAAAGCCGAGTGTAGCAAAGCCAAGCTCCACCTGGGAGGGTGCTGGGTTTTATTGCACTTTATATAACTTTGGTTCTGATGGCAACTTGTCCTCCTGCTCCCTCGTCTCTGTATTTTTGGCTCTGAGTAGGAAGGTGCATTTGTCAGGCACCCCAAATAGAAAAATGGGGGTGTCAGTGATCCCTGCTCAGCGGTTCCGGCCCCGGGAGCAGGAGCTGCATTTGAAGCGCTGCCACCACCTGTGTCCTTTGAACCTTGGGCTGCATCCCTTCCAAAAAAAAAAAAAACAAACTGGAGGAGAGAGCACACACCCCCCAGTAACACAACCCCCAGCCAGGACCTTCTCCTGCACTTCCTTTTATAGGGATGGAATGCATTTTGGGCTTTTTATCCTGCTTTCCCTCTCCAGTCTCTCCCAGCAGCAGGTGCAGAGCTCTCTGCCAGCCAAGGGCAGTAAATACAATCACAGGAGTAACACAACACACACAAACCCACACTCTGATTAAACTGGCTCCTCACCATCATTCCCAGTAGCAATTCCAAGTCAGGGGTCGGGACACACCATTCCCAGTCCCTTCTTAATTTACAAGGTCGGTAAAAGAGCATGGTCTCACTTACAAAACTCAGGGGCATCAGCTAAGCAAGGAACCTTTTGATGAAAAATAATTCATGGTAGGAAATCCAGCCTTCCCACAATTATCCCTTTTTTTTTTTTTTTTTTTTTGTAATCATGGTCCAGAGAAGGATCTGTGCTCCCCAACTCCCACACTGCCAGCACATTTCCCTCTTACCAAATGAAGAGAGAAAAAGAGAGAAATCAATACAATTTTCCATGCTGGGACTGGGTTTTTCTAATCTCCTTTCCAAGAGCAGGGGAGATGAAATCAGCCCTGTCTCAGCTGTCACAACCCCAGCACTCAGGAGGCACTGATGGGTGGGTTAATTACTCCTATTTTTAGGCTCATCAGTTGATATTTCTCAGGTTTTTTTCAGTCTCCCTCACATGTTACAATTTCAAGCTCTGAGCAGAAGCAGCGTTTCCAAAAGGTAACTTGTTCTGCCAGGAAGGGCACAAGTTGTCAGCAGGGCCATCCAGAACACCCAACATCCACTGGAGATCCTACACAGGCTCAAAAAACCCCAAACCCAACCATAAATGGTCATGCATTGAACCCAACCCATACAGGTCCACCTGCTTAAGCAGGATAAGAGAGAGGAGAATTCACCATGAAGAAATTAGAGTTTAATAGGTATTACTTATTAATAGAGGTGAATTAAAGAAGTGAATCAATTGAAGCTGTGGCTGCCCCATCCCTGGAAGTGTTCAAGGGGGTTTGGAACAACCTGGTGTAGTGGAAACTGTCCCTGCCTGTGGCAGAGGGTGGAATGGGATGAGCTTTAAGGTCCCTTCCAACCCAAACCATTCAGGGGTTCTGTGAATCTCAGAATAGATATAAAAAAGGACAAAGATGTTTATAATCTTTTCTATGACACTAATTCCTCTCAAGTCTAACGTTCACCTAAACCTCTCAGCCCCAAAGGGCACCTAAAGCCAGACAAACATCAAATTACCTTACGGGCAGTGAGAAGCTACAACAACAAAAAAAAGCTGTTTATCATCGTGGTTTTCAACTCCACTGGGGTTTGGAATCAACGTGAGTGCTGATGAGAAATGAAGAGCGCAAGGAAGGGGTTCAGGAACTCTCACTGTACAGATGGGTCACCTTTGAGGGTCGGGAAGTCCCCAGTGCCGGTCCCGTGATGGCAACACGAGTCCCCCCGGCCCCGGCACTGGGTGGGTGCCACACACAATAAACTTCTCTCTCAGCTCACGGGAACGTGGGGAGACCCCCCTGAGCCCCCGAAAGCGGGGGGACCGAGGCAGCTCCGGCCACCGAAGCAACCTGGACCCCTCGCCTTCCCTCGGGACATCCCCCCGGGAACGGGAGAGGTGGGAGGTGCAAGAGAGGGGGGAATCCCCCCGGGAGCGGGAGAGGTGGGAAGTGGGGGGTGCAGGAGCAGGGGGGAATCTCCCCGGGAACGGGCCGGGAGGGGGGACATTCCTCCGGGAAAGGGAGGGGTGGGAGCTGGGGGGGTGCAGTAGCAGGCTGATTCCCCCGGGAACGGGCGGGGTGGGGGGCGCAGGAGCGAGGGGGATCCCTCCGAGGACGTGCGGGGTGGGAGGTGGGGGATGCGGGAGCAGGGACATCCCCCCGGGAGCGAGCGGGATGGGCGCCGCCGGAGCCTGTCCCGGGGATCCCGCCCGTCCGTGGGGAGCCCCCCCGTGCCCGCAGCCCCCCGGTCGCAGTGGCGGAGGCTCCCCGTGGCTCAGTGGCCCCCGCGCTCCCCCCCGCCCGCCTCACCTCCGCGATGTCATCTTCCCGCGGAGCCCCGGCGGGTGGCGGTGCCCGGGCCGCCCCTACCCGCCCGCCGCTCACATCGGGGTCCCGGCGGGGCCTGCGGGGAGCGCGAACAGCGGCGGCCTCGGGCCCCGGAGCGCGGCGAGCGCGGCGCGGCCCGCCCCGCGTCACCGCCCGCGCCGTCATCGCCCCGCGCCGCGCCCGCCCCGCCCCGCGGGGCCGCCCCGCACGGGGGGCTGCGGGACCCCCGGCACCGCCGCGCCGAGCCGCCGCAGCATCGCCCGCGCGCGGGGCAGGGCGCGGAGGGGGCCGCGCCCCGAGCTGAGCGGGTTTAGCGGCAGAGGCGCGGCGAGGCCCCCTCCCCGTGCCAGGGGTCCCGCACAGCCCGTGGGGGGGGTGCGGGCGCGGTGCCCCCTCCCCGCTGCAGCGGGGCCGCCACGGGCGGCGCGGGAGCTCCAGCACTACAAGTCCCGCAGTGCCCCGCGCGGCGCGGTGACGTCAGGCGCGGCGCTGGGGTTACCCCGCGCGCTCCCGGATGTAGGTCCCTTTCCCCCCCGGAAGGTGAGGATGGCGGAGCTCTGGGTGTTCCGCGGGGACACCGTGCTGCATCCGCCGCCATCCGCGCACCCCGCGGGCACCGGCGTGGCCCGCGGCCCTCGGGGGACGGCGGGGGGCCGGGGTGGGCGCGGCGGGCAGAGAGGAGCGGCAGCGTTGTGCCTGCCTCCGGGCGGGCTGGGCCGCGGCGGGATGTGGAGGCCGCGCCGGGGAAGCGGGAATGGGCTGGACCGGGGCCGGGGCTGGGCCTGAGCGGGACAGGCCCGTGACTGAGACCACCCGGAACAGAGGCGGGTGTTTGCGTGTCCACGGGTTTCCCAGCGAGCAGCGCTGGGTGCGATCGCTGAGCTCGTCGCTGCTGTAAGCAGCGCGGAGGGGCGTTTTGCTGAGTGGTTTGCTGAGTGGTTGCTCAGCCGCGGCCGTAAGAGGCGGCTGACAACTGTCGGGAAGGTGTAAGGGATCGCTTCGATTCTTTTATTTTGTTTCTGCCACTCGAACTGTGCGCACCTTGTGCTGAGCCCTAGTTTGTGTGGTCCCCAGATGGCGGGTGAGAAGGCGCCCGCGGAGAAGAAGCCGGCCAAGAAGAAGGCAGGAGAGAAGAAGCCGGAGCAGAAGCCGAGCCAGAAGGCAGCCGGGGACAAGAAGAAGAGGGTGAAGAAGTACCATGCCAGCAGGAACCCCGTCCTGGCCCGCGGCATCGGGAGATATTCCCGCTCTGCCATGTACGCCAGGAAAGCCCTGTACAAGCGCAAGTACACGGCTCCAGAGACAAAGGTGGGATGGGAAACACCGTGTTTGAGCCACTGGGATGCCTGTGGGTTGAGATGTCAGGAGTTATCCCTGTTCTTTGCTTACAGATAGAAAAGAAGAAGAAGGAGATGCCCCGCGCCACCATCACCAAGCCAGTGGGTGGAGACAAGAATGGAGGCAGCCGGGTGGTTAAAATCCGGAAAATGGTATGGAAAAGCATTGGGATGCTCCTGGTTTGGGGCTGGTCTGGGTAACCTTGGACTGGGTGAGGTGGAGACCTATTGCCTGAGGCGACGTAGGGACCTCAGCCTGAGCTGTGCTTCAGTGAACTCTTGGAAATGCTCACCTTGAGATACAGACCTGGTGTTCTTGGGAGATGGTGGAGTTTAGGGTGGGGATTTCGGGAATGGTTGTAAGCAGAATTGGGTTCTGTGCTGTTTGTATTGCTGTGCTGAGGTGGAAGCACACCCAGAAGCACAGAGCTGGCTGCAGCTCCCACTGTGCAGCACTGCCCAGGAAACACTCCATGTGTTCCCATCACCGGCTGCAGCGGAAACACGTCCTTCAGAAAGCTGGGCGATGGGGAGAACCTTGGTGAGGGTTTGTGCCCTGTGGAATGCAGGTGTTTAACCACGTTGTTCCTCTTCCCCCCCAGCCCAGGTACTACCCCACAGAGGACGTGCCCCGCAAGCTGCTGAGCCACGGCAAGAAGCCGTTCTGCGAGCACAAGCGGCGGCTCCGCTCCTCCATCACCCCAGGCACGGTGCTCATCCTGCTCACCGGGCGGCACCGTGGCAAGGTGAGCCCCCCATGGTGCCCCACAGGGAGCTGAGACACCCCACATGTACCAGCTGATAGCACTGCTCAGCCACTGGGTGCAGATCTGTGACTTGTGTCTGGATGCTTCCCTTGCCCAGCTGTGAAGGGATGCAGACTTCAAATGTTTTTTAAATTAGTGTTTTCTTGCACAGAGCTGGGAGGAGAACAGGCTAATCCAGTGGCTTAGGCGAAATTAAAGGAGTCTTGCTGCAGTACAGAACAGCAGACCCTGATCATATTTCTGTTGCTGCTGCAGCAAAGGCAGAACTTTGTGTTTTAGTAGCTATTGCAAAGGAAGAATTACTTTTTAATTCTTAATCTAATTATCACGGTAACACTTGATTGTTACATTGTATACCTCATCTTAATAATGGTTTTTAACATTATTTGCATCCATTATTTTCTTGAATATTCTGGCTTTATGTCCCATTACATAAAGGATGTTGTTCAGGGAAGGCAAACTTGACCAGAAATAACAAGACCCAGCTGGGGGATGGACACAGCTGTAGTTTGGATCCCAGGGTGGCAATTCCTCAGGTTGCACATCTGCACCCACACCTGGAGCACTGTCAGTGGCTGTACCAGTAACGGGTCCAGGGCGGGCACAGTCCCAGCATGGCTGTGGTACTGCAGTGCTGGCACCTGAGGACTGATGGCACATCTCGTTCCTTTACAGCGTGTTGTCTTCTTGAAGCAGCTGGACACTGGCCTTCTGCTGGTTACAGGTGAAAACTTCTACATACTTAGCAATATTTTGGTTTGGTGTGGGTTTACCAAGTTCAGGTTTGTCTCTGGGGTCAGTAGCACAACCACTCTGCGTGTGGGTGGTTTGGGACATTGTGTGTTCATGGGACAACGTGGAATCACGTTTTGTGGTGGAGTCCCCATCCCTGGAGGTGTTCAGGGAATGACTGGACGTGGCACTCAGGGCTCTGGGATGGGTGACAAGGTGGGGATGGGTCACAGGTTGGACTTGATGGTCTGGGAGGTCTTTTCCAGCGTGAATGATTCTGGGATTTGTGACTTAGCAAGAAGGAGGAGGGGAGATAATTAAGCTTCAGCATCTGACAACCTGGAAGAAACCAGGAAGCATTTTTTGGTGTTTCTAGAGGGGAGGGGATTTAAATGTTCAGATTGTAGCTGTAGGCATCTCTGAAGGAACCTAGTCATCACATAAACTACAAAAATTCAACTGTTTGCACCAGAAAAGCTCATTTTGTTCTCTTCCCTCTGCCTTCAGGCCCCCTGGTTGTGAACCGTGTCCCCCTGCGTAGGGCCCACCAGAAGTTTGTTATTGCCACATCTACAAAGGTTGACCTCACTGGAGTGAAAATTCCCAAACATCTCACCGATTCCTACTTCAAGAAGAAGAGGCTGCGGAAGCCCAAGCACCAGGAGGGCGAGATCTTTGACACTGAAAAAGAAGTAAGAGATGGGGTGGTTTGTTGGTCCTGAATTCTCATGTGACCCCAGGCCAGGTTCCAAGGGGGGGAATAGCAGGGTACAAACAGCTGGATTTCAAGTGACCCTTAATCAGATGAGGTGATACCACTAAAATGGATAAAATACAGCATTGAGGTTAAACCCTGCTAAGACAGTGGTTTCAGTGCTGAGCCACCTCTGGTCTCCCACCGCATTCCCCCGATCTAGAACAAATGAAGATTCCTTGAAAATGCCAAAACTTTGGGTTTTCCTTGAATTTTCTCCTCTCTGCAGAAGATTCTGAGGTCACTGTGCAGGGTTTTAACGTTCTCCTCTGTGCTCTGCAGAAATATGAGCTGACGGAGCAGCGCAAGGCAGACCAGAAGGCCGTGGATTCCCAGATCCTGGCCCGGATCAAGAAGGTGCCTCAGCTCCGTGGGTACCTGCGCTCCACCTTCTGCCTCTCCAACGGAGTCTATCCTCACAAATTGGTGTTCTAAGCCTTCTGAAAGCACCACATTAAATTCCAAGGGAAAAAAAAAAAACAGGGATTTGTGGTGTGTTCATTGTGATCTGGGACAGCACGTGCTGCACGAGGCTTGCAGTGCATGATTTAACAGGTAGAAAAGTGCCTGTGGCATGAAATTCTGAGGGACTACAAACAGAAATTCAGCTTTCTTAACTGAATGAGCTGGGGAGGGATCCTGAAGAGATTTTCTTTTGGGCATAGCAGATAAAGCTGGGTTGTCACAGTGCACAGTAAAACCCAGCCTAGTTTCTGCTGACACAACTTCTCTCCACCCTTGCTGTGCTGAAACAAGGGCTTTGGGTTTTTCTGGGGGAGAACCAGCCCTGGCAGTAAAACTCTGCAGATAACTCAGCATTTTAAACCTTGTGAGCAGCACTTGAGATGGTGTTTGACTAACAGCTTTGATCCATCACTCACCACGTGAACCTCAGCAAATACAGAACTTTATTTAGAGGCATTTCAGGAGCTATGCCTTGGATTTTAAAGTGGAAACACTGGGAATACTTGAGTTTTGCACAGTAACTTGTCCCTGGAACCATAACAATGTCTCTTTCCTGTTCTTTCTTTATCCTTGTGGGATGGGATGCTGTTAGTTGAATACCACCTGCTTAGGTCAGAAGGCAAATCCTAAATTCTGTAGGCTTGGAAATTGGTCCAATAACAATAATAGGGAAGTATTTTTCTATTCTGGGAGACTTCTGGAGTCTCAGTAAGTTTTCCTCTCTCTAAAACTTCTTGAAATTGAGTTGAAAAAGTTAGTCCTCTGTGTTTTCTTTATCTGTCACAGTCAGCAGAAATCTGGAAGGGGATGCTTGGGTAGCAGTAGCTCTGCTCTTACAAAAAGCAGGGATGTACACATTAACAAACCTGGCAGGCTGGAGCTCCCTCTTAGCCAGACTTCTGCAGGAATGGGGGATTATGTAACTGCACCATCTGGCTGCCCATTAATTCTGAGCTCAGAGTAGCCAACGGGGTCAAACTCGACGAGGAATAAGAGATTTCATCAAATCATGCAAGATTTATGAGAAGGGGATGGGAAAGGGAGCAACACAACCCTGTCTGAGTGGGAGTTTTACAAGGCACGTACTGGCCATGCTCCTTGGGAAAGAGGAATTGGGCTTTGAGTGCTCCAGAGGCAGTGGAATAACTCAAACACCTGCACAACACCTGCTGGCATCGAAGGGGCTGCAGGTATTGGTACAGCTGGTGCTTGGGGGTGTTAAAATGTGTGTGGAAGAAAGAGCACTGGTCACTTAGACCATCTTCCTCTGGATAATTAACAGGCTGGGAGAGCTGGGGATGTTCAGCTGGAGAGAAGGCTCCAGGGAGACCTTAGAGCCCCTTCCAGTGCCTAAAGGGGCTCCAAGGGAGTTGGAGAGGGACTTTGGACAAGGGATGGAGTGACAGGACAAAGGGAATGGTTTCCCACTGCCAGAGGGCAGGGTTAGATGGGATATTGGGAAGAAATTCTCCCCTGTGAGGGTGGTGATGCCCTGGCACAGGTTGCCCAGAGAAGCTGTGGCTGCCCCATCCCTGGAAGTGTTCCAGGCCAGGTTGGACGGGGCTTGGAGCAACTTGGGATAGCGGAAGGTGTCCCTGCCCATGTCAGGGGGTGGGGCTGGATGATAATTAAGATCCCTTCCAACTCAAACCACTCCGGGACTGTCCGTAAGTACCAACGAGGTTCAGCAGAGGGAGGCAGTGAGCCGGCTGTGTCCCAGTGCAGAATTCCTGGCCTGCCTAGGAGCGTGTTTCTGTTGCTCTGTGTTGTGTTCTGCCCCGTGTGCTTTATTTTTCCGTGTAATTTTGTCTGTGATGAGTTACATCTTCTATGTTGTACTTGGTTTGCTGGATCGTGGGTATAGTCAGAGGTTTTTAAGTTGATGGGAGATTTTCCTGCAGGGGTGGGACTGGCTTGTTCACATAAACAACTCTAAAAAGATACAAAAGGTTTGCACACATCTCCCTGCTGCTGCTCAGGTTACGTTCACTGATACTGCCAAGGAAAAATGCTTAGAAAGCTCAGTTAAAATAAAAATTGTAAGTGGGAACACTTGCATGGGAAAAGCCCCATCCAGCAAGTGGAATCAGAATGGTTTGGTACTGCAAGGTCTGCAAACTCAGATTCAGTCACACAGCTGTGAACTGAGAGCAAACTGAAGGAGGTTCTCCTGCTCCAGCCATTCCCTTCCCCTCTGGGAATGGGGAAGTTGCAGTAACAAAACAGCCCCGTGGATTTGCCTAAAAACACAACGGTGTTCTCCGTCATTAATTACTCTGTCATTAATTACTGGTTACTCTGGTACATTCCTCATCTGTGTATCAGAGGACATGAAGTGACACCTGGAGCCGTTCCCCTTGATTAGTGGCAGGGGAGGCTTTGTCTCCCCGTGTGCTGGCAGGAAGGGATTTGGAAACAGGAGTCAGATCCTGGTGTGGAGCAATGGCCTCACATGCTGCCCTCGCCCACGTCCCGTCACCTGCGTGGTGACCAGGAACACACCCTGCAGGGAGGGAGGGAGGGAGGGATATCCCTGTGCTGCTGTCAGTCCCTGCACTGAGTCACTGGGCCCAGCTGGATGCTGGTGTCACACAGGGATGTGGGAGCAGGCCTGATGAAAAATTGGAACACCAAATCCTGCCTTCCCGGGGCTGAGCAGCATCTTGGGCTTGGAGACACCACAGCCTTCATCTCCCATAAGGAAAGACAGCCAGTGGACAGCTGGGATGTGTCTCTCTCTAAAATGTTTTCCTCGAGTGCTGTGAAATCTGCCTTCTTCCTGAGCTGCTCCAGGGTGAGGGATGGAAAACGGGAAAAAACAAGGACTGCACAGGTGACCGACACAGAAACAAAGTGAACATCCCGAAGGGTTTTTCCCTGTCCCCTACCTGGCAAATCCTTGCCCTGCATGAAGAGCCCCTGTGTGTGCTGTGCCTGTCCCACAGCCATTGTCATTCCGAGCATGCAGGCAGTTCTGCAGTCCTGGCTCGCTGAGTCATTGCTTTTGCCTGTGCAGCCCCCACAGAAGGAGCCAGAGCCATCCAAAGCCTCCCTCACCCAATCAAAAGTGCTGGAGATGTGCAGGGCCAAAAATAGTGACAGACTCAACCACAGCAGCACTTCATTAGCATCAAATGTGCTCTTTGCTTCAGCTGCCTAATAAAGTGATATGTAATTATAATAAAGCATCCTTTGGAGAGGAAAGAGAGAGGGATGTTGGCTTTCCCAGGGAATTGGTAATAAGATGTGATGCCTTGTTATCTCCAGGCACCTCTTTTTACCCCTGAGCTGTGCAGTGACCCCGTGGATGCAGCTCCAGCCTGGCTCTGTCCGGCTGCTGTGTTGGGAACAGTCTCAGGGAGGCAGCCACTGGCTTTGCTCCCGGAATGAGGATCCTTTGGGACCAGGATCCTTAGGAGGAATGGGCTGATCTGCAAGACAAAGTACTCTGCAGTACCAGGTTTGTAGAGAAAGTTACCTTTGGCATCTCAGGAGGGGCACACTTGGGTTTAACTTGAATTAGAGAAGATGGCTGGAGTGTGAAGCTGCTTTTACAGGGCTGCCCCAGCTTTTGAGACTGGTGGTGAGGAAAATATGCCAAATTCCCAGATGTCCAGTGATTGCTCAGTTCACCTGTGCCATAGGAAGTGCCTTGTTATAAAGGAGAAGCTGAACCTTTTTCCCTCCACGGATTTCCACCTGATCCCTGCCCTTCCTCTCCTCACACCTCACAGAACTGTTGTCAGTGGCACAAAAGAAGTCACTCTGGATCTCCCCACAAGTTCAATAACAATAAATAGAGTTTGGGGACAGCTTCTTTGTCTTCCCCTGGAAGAAGTTGTGCTTTAGCATCAGAAAATGCAGGCAAGAGCAGCTGAGAAGAGCTGGCCTAGGCAGTGTCCCTCTAGCAAATTCCTTTTGCCCTTCTCCAGGTGCTGATTCCCATCCCATTTTAAATGATTCCAGCATTAGAAACCCCATCCAAATAAACTTTACTGGCAGAATTTGTTTCAGATTCTCTGTGTATTCTTCTTTCAGCACATTTTGTTTCTCATCCTTCAGTGCAGGGCCTTCCTGGTCTCTCCTTATTCAAAACAACTGGGTTTAAAATCAAAACTGGGGGTTTTTTTGCAGCCCCTACAATTTTATCAGCTCTTTCTCTGTTACAAGACAGACACATGGACAGCTTAGTCTGAGATCTGGAACTTCACAGGAGGGTCATCTAAACTCCACTGCACTTTCTTCCATCCTTATTGTTCTGAAGCAACAGGTCACATGAATACCAATCCTCTGGGCCCAGAATTAAGAGCTCCTGCTCCTGTTGTGTTCTGGGAACAGCATCTGAAGTTCCCAGCACCTGTTAATTTGATTCCTCCAGTTCTGCTGCATTACAGTCTGCACTAAGCACTTGATAACTCATTGTTTAAGCAATTAGAGCAATTAAAGCCTTATTTTTATAAGGATCTTATTCCTGTGTTGTTCAGGAAGGCACTGATTGAGCAGAGCCAGCCGGTGTCCCTGAGTCATGCCTGAGGGTGGGGCTGCAATGGTTACATGTGCACTTTGACACATGTGCCAACAACCAAACAGGAACATTTTGCCTTGTTCAGTTGGTTATTCATTGGTTTGTTTGTTGTTTGGGGTTTTTTATAGACCCTCTGGCTTATGAAGAGTCAAAAACCCCCACGTTTACCAGCTGACTGCCTTTTTTTAATTAATTTTATCCCTTTTCCCACCATTATTTCAATGTTTATCTGGGAAATGACTTCACATGATAGATTGCACACAGAGCCAGCAGCTTCTGTGACCTAACCATGGTTCACACTATACCAGACATAAATACTTCTTAGCTGTAATAATGATGAGGAGAGAGGGGGTATGGTAGTCAAAAAAGTACTTGAGATACAAGAAATTCAATCTTTTTCTCAGCTCGATTGATTTTTTCTGTGTGATCCTGAGCAAGTAACTTAGTTTCAGTGCAGTCAGTGCTCCCTCACTGCAGAAAGCAGAGACACTTCCTCATATCAAGTCTCAAGGAGTGTTTTAAACTCCTGCAAATAAAAAATTTACGTCAATGCTTTAAAGGACATAAAAGAGTAAAAGGCCTTTGCTCGGCTGACACTGAGGAGGGAGCTGATCCCTTATTCTAATCCTGTTCTAGGGAGATGATACCAACATTTAATACTAAAAAATACAGCCATTGTGCTGTGTTGAGGACTGGCACAGGTGACAGGAGAAATCAATGTTTCCACAGTCCTGTTTATCAGTTTTAATGCTGGGGGTTTTTTATGCAGAATTCAGTCCGTTATATCTGTACAACTCAAAGATTCAGAGTGTCTGGTGCCATCCTGTGTTCCTGCAGTTTGCCCAATTAGCAGTTCCCAGTGCCTTTGCCTGCAGATTATTTTTAATGATGATAATAACCAGCGTCTCCTACTTCCCATCCACTGAGCACACTGGCCTCGTGACACCCAGCAGAGGCAAAAAATCTGCCAGTGGAACACCAAGAAATTAAACAATGATCTGTTTATCCATTGAAGCAACTCACTGAGTGCAGAGAACCACACCAAGGCTCTAAATCTCATGGAAAAAAAAAAAAAAATAGAGACTAAACCAGAAGCAATTTCCCCTTCATCTGTTTTGTCAGTCCTACCTGATGCAGAGGATTTTTCACTCTCTTGACAGATGCACTTAGGACGTAATTGTTTTTAAAATTAAGGCTTTCAGTACATGGTATCTTATTGTTCAAAATGCCCATTTTCACACAAGGAAGTAAAACACAAGCTAAAACGTACAAAAGTAAGTCCAAATGATGTCCTTGGTTCCAAAGGGAGGAAGGTTAATTTTCACAGCAAGGACATGTGAAGACCCTAGAAGAATGATTCACCCTCAAAACGTTCCACTGGAGATGTTTAGGTACAATCAGCACTCCAATCCCTGGTGTGAATGCCCTGCTAAGCTGAAGGGAAGATCTGTTTTGTGGAATTTCATAGAAATTGGGGGGTAACCATAACTGTCCCTTCAAATAAGCCCCAAAAAAAGAACAAATGCCCCTTTAGAATCAGGGAACTGAAACCACAGCAACTCTTGCTCAAATGAGAGGCACATGGCAAAGCTTCTGTACGTTGCACATTATCCACGTGGCTTCCCTGGGCCTGACAAAAAAGGTGCAAAAAGGGCATTTGAAACCTGCAGCTTTGTGCTTGTGTGAGAGAAAAAAGCCCCACACATGCCCAGAGCAGGGGCACAGAGGGAGAAAGGGGGAAACTGCATTTTAAGGCTGCTGATGCAAGAGAAAACTTCGAGAGGGCTTTTTTTTTTTTTTTTTTTTTTTTTTTTTTTTTTTTTTTTTTTTTTTTTTTTTTTTTTGTCTTTTTTTGTCCAAATCCTGGCTTTGGTCAAAGCACTGTGCACAAAAATGTGTGGTTTATTTAATCCAGTGCTCTAGGAAAAAAGACTTTCATGCTTTGTAATTAAACAAGATTTCATCAAGGCAGTATCTCACATCCTCCTGTAACTGTCTTCTAACACAGGTGACCCATTAATCCCCAAACTGCCCAAGAGCTGGAATAAAAAATATAAATTAAAATAATATAAAGAACAACCCAAATTCTGTGGCTTGGGCTTACCTGCAGTAAGTGCTGATTTCACCTGAGAAGGGTGTCCCAGCACGAGCCAGTCAGTGCAGCTGCTCCTGGGGATTTATAATACAGGATTTCTATCATCCTTCCCGCTCTGACACCCTGAGCTTCAACTTTTCACGTCATTCAGTTGCCACCACACCGAGCCTGGGCAGATTGGGCAATCAAGCCTAAAAAATGGCTTTTTTAATGCGTTCTGCCCCATGAACAGCCACATGAGGACAGCCTGGCAGGCTGGAGCACAACACACACAGTGGCGTCCCCGTGTTGCACGTGCAGGGCTGGGCTGATGTTGTTTGTCTGTGAACGAATGATGTGATGGAGGGGGTGATGCTGGTGGAGTCCTCCCAGCAGTGGTGGCTTTGGATGACTGACAGCACTGCTGTTGGTTCTTCTGTTGATTGATTGCAGAGTTATTTGTGTTGAAGGGCAGTTAAGTGTTCTTCCTGGTTTATCTGCAGTGGTGTTCTTTTTAAAGGAACGCTGTGATGTTGTCGAGCACAAAATCAAGGTACATAAAACCGTTCCAGAAAAGACTGACTTTTACCTGCCAGGACCAGGATTTTATAAGCACGTGCCACTCCACTGCAGCATCATAAAGTCAACTCTACAACATTCCAAATGAAGAAACCCTCCTACCTGTAACAGCATGAAACCATTTTCATCCGTCCTGGCTTCACCTGCAGGCCAGTCCAGCCCAAAGCTGTGGAATGAGGAATTATTTGGCCTTTACTGGTTTGTGCCATCTGGCTGTAAGGAACAGAGGGAAAAACAGGTGAGTCATAGTGAGCATGAGGAGACTGAACTCTCACAGCAATCAGCAGCACCCCTTCACTGACAAAACCACAGCAGACTTCCAGAGCCCTTTTTGTTTGTCTCCCTCGTATTTATATCCCATCAAATTGTTCACTGGCTGTGACTTTACTGTATAAGAGTTCTTACTCTTCCTTTAAAAGTAGATTCTTGGCTGGAAATTATACATCAGAAATGCTGCAAGAAAGAAAGGAAGGGGAGGAAGGCACTATGGGAAGAGCACCTTGGGAGATGTGGGCACTTCCAGCTGCAAGACAAGCACCACACAGAGAGCAGAATTGTTCTCCCCAAAGGAAAAGCCACTCCAGTTTGCACAGCGTGGCTTCAGCTCTCAATTAGTGCCTTTCAGTCTCGAGTTTGTTTTGAATGCCTGTCAGCACTGCAGGGAGAATCAGCCCAGACTAACAGTTGCTCAGGCCAGGGATTCACTGCCCTGCCTCCCTTTCCTCAGCAAAAGGGGTTGTCAGTGCTGCAGTGCCTGTGCAAACCTGCTAATTAAGACTTCACAGTCTTGGAACCGATTGATGAATTTCAAGTAGAAGACAAAGATGACAAAAGTTCAAAAGCCACCTCATTTAAAATTCTCATTTGAAATCCTACTTTGGCTCTTTTCTTTGCTGTCCTGTTGTTTCAGACTCCCCAGTTATCCCCTTTTAGCACCCTCTCCTTACTTAGAGATGTGCCTGTGAAAGGTGAGTCAGTTTTGGGTGAACAACAAGCAGTGAGCTGGGGGGTTTATTCCCAGGATTTCTGCCTCAGCATAGGTGACTAAATAGAATTTTTTTTGTCAGGGTTGGCACGTCTTGATCTAAAATGTACAAAACCACCACCAGCCTTTTGCCACAACCAGCTGCCTCAGGCCTTTCCTTCTGGGTAACACCTACACAGTGGGGCTGCTGGAGTCACGCTGGAAAAATCCTTCTCCTTGCCATCTCCTAAAGGTCCTTGTGCTTCCCCACATCCATGGGCTTCTTGGAACAGGGTGGTGGCTTCCAAATCCAAACACAGGGGGTGCTTTGTGGTTTTGCTTTCCAGCAGTTCCATTTTGTGTCTGTAAAACATCACGGGAAGGTTTTATTTTTCGGTGGCTCTTCCAGCTGCTGCAGAATTTTAGGGAATGAGGAAAAATCAGTAGTAGAGACGAATTCTTGCCAGTCATAGTAATGCCAGCTTTCCACCCACTTACCTCTTCATACATTTCATTTTACTGTATTTATTACATGTATTTTAAACTCTCAGTGTCAAAATATTACTAACCTTACTGTGTGATGGAGTTAGACTGAGTTATATGAATGAAATCAAATTAGCCTAATATTTATAACTTTTCCTAGATAACTTAAACTTCTGGTACTCAAAAAAAAAAGCTATGAAAATTTCTCTTATACTCCCAAAGCATTTTTTGGTAACACATCAAGACTTTTATCAACAAGAAATGAAAAAGCCAAGATGCACTTGCTTCAATGTTTTGATTAATTCTGCTTTGTCACAGAGGAAAAACATCCTTATTCAGGACAAATTGCTCCTGAATTGGAATAATCTGAAATCTGCTTAGGGTATATTGGGTATCACTGTAGCAGGAAAATGCTGAAGCCTGATGCAAATATTTAGGTATTTGTGGTTCTGATGGGATGACTGGGTGTAAAAAGGATGTAAAATGGTACTAGGATATATGTATTATAATTAAAAAAAGTCTCCTCTGTTGACAGTAATGATATAAATATGGAGAAATAAATTATAAATAAAATATAAACTCCTGTAGGTGTCACAACAATATTTTTCTGCAATTCTATAGGGACCATCCCCAAGTGAGCTTTGATGCTGTGGGAGATTTTAAGAAAATGCACAGCTGGTAGAAAACTCACCAGAATTTGAAGTCAACTCATCCTGTGAATAAATCATATTTAATCATACTTCAGTTGGAAAAAGAAAGGAGACAAATGTTGAAAGAGGTATTTGGAGTTTTCATTTCGGTATTAATTGTATTCAGCATCACTTCTGAGATGCAGCTACAGCTGCTCTCCCCGTGCTTCCCATTCCCATCAGGTTTGGGGGGTGGGAACATCCTCGTCCTCCCTCGGGAAGTCTGAGGCAGGTTTGCCAAACGCTCCAGTCAGAGCTGGATGAACCTTCCAGGGAGGAGAGGGAATCAGGCTCAGTCTGGGATTCACTGTTCCCACCTCCCATGGAGCTGGAAAGGGATTCACATCCTCTTTGCCTCTTCGTACCCACGAGATTTGAGATTGTATCACAGGGCTGCGACTCCGCGTGGGACTTACAATGACGTCGCTAAAATGAAAGCTTTTACAATTTTGCTTTTCAACACAAAATAGGAAGAAAAAAATAGACAATTTAGCTGTCTGCCCTGGAACAGGAGCTATATTTGAATAACAAGGCAATGCTCCTAAAAGAGAAACCCAAAGTCTGTGTGTTCTGTGTCAGGAACTGGAATTCTTTCTTGTTATCAATTAATAGCTCTAAAAACCAGTGGATTTGCAGGATTAGTATTTCAACCAATTTACTTGTGAAATTAGAGAAAATTATTGAAATGTAGAAACTCAAATTATTTCTTCATAGTCGAGGAGCAAATCAATTTATGACGCTTTTTCTTTCCAAGAGTTTCAAATAAAACTTTAAGTAAATCAGGGGGTAAATACGAAGCCACAGGTGTTCTGATAAAGGGATGTGTTGTATTTGTGCCTGAGCATCAGCCCCACCTTGGTGCTACTCAAAATCACTGCTGTTCTTGCAGCACCCATCGATCCAAAAACCTGCCGTTTTTGGAAGTCATTTTCCAGAACTAATTTTAAACCCCTCAGATCTCAGCCAGGCTGCCACAGACCTTGTGAATTTAACATTGCAAACCCCGAGAAACACAAGTGGTGGCCCTTGTAATAATTTGTATGAATTATATAACCCCACCTTGTTACATTTATATCTTCACAATCTGGAGCAGAATATTGTAGCAGAGTTGGTGTTGTTGGTTTTTTTTTTTTCATTTATTTTTCCCTCATGTTGCTGCACCGGTTTTCAGAGAGGTTGAATTTTAAAACAGCACCGAAGAGCTGTATTTAAACCTACCTATTTTTGGATATTAATAATGAGCCTTCTGAGACATTTGAGATTCAGAAATTCAGGACAACCTCTCAGGGATCTGCTCAGCTCCCAACCACTCTTCCTCGCTGATGGGCAGCATTTAGATCCCTCCCTTCAGGAAAGGCTACTTGAGTATGAAAATGAGACAGGACATTAGGGAGAGCAGTGGTAAATGCCAGCTTGTTTTGCTTGTGCACGTGAAACACCACAAACAGAATTGAAGTGGAAGCTGTTATTTCATTTACAAGCCCAGAAGGAGGCAACAATATCATCCAGCTGCAGGGAAAGCGGAGAGGACATGGAGACACCGAGCAGGAGAATTGCATGGAAGACAGGAATCTGTCCAGGACATTTCACATTGGTGAGGCTTCATTTAAATACCAGCAGCTCAAGGGAGGTGTGGACAAGTTGGAGGAAATCCCAGAGGAATGATGAGTCTTCCAGAGCACGTGGCCTACAGAGAAAATTTGAAAGACAGGGATTATTTAGTGCAGAGATGATGGACAGGAACTGTGGTCACAGCTCTCATGGGTGAAGAAAACTGCATGAAAGGAAGGAAATAAATTGTTCTCTAGGCTTGAAAAACCTGGAAAAATGAATGAAAAGGCTTAAATTGCAGTAACACAAGTTCAGTTGTGGATTAGGAAACTCCCTGACTGTGATGACAATTCAACAGTGGAAGAGATGGAACAGAGAGGTTGTGGCTGCTCCATCCCTGAAAGTGTCCAAGGCCAGGCTGGATGGGGCTTGGAGCAGCCTGGGATAGTGGAAGGTGTCCCTGCCCATGGCAGGGGGTGGAACTGGATGAGCTTTAAGGTCCTTCCAAGCCAAACCACTGTGGAATTCCATGGTTCCACGGATGCAGGTGGAGTCTCCATCTCGATGGGCCAGGTGTGTCACAGGTAGTGCAGTTAGAGCTGGGTAAGAGCACTGCATTAGGCTGTCTCTAAGGAAACATTCCAGCATTTTTATTAGGATTCCATGATTTACATTTGTTTCCTGCCCAATTTAAGTAAGGCTGTGTTTGCAAGGTAGTGATTCATCCTCATGTTTTCTCTAACAAATTATCCATATTCATTTTAATAAAAATATCTTTGTACTTGTTCTTCCTCACTCAATCCCACCTTGAAATCATTCATCCTTCAGCAATTATTGCCCTCCTAAATGAGAAAAATGTGGAAATATTTTTCTTTTGCAATTAAAATACATTTCTGAGGTTTGAAATTATTTTATTTCACTGTCTAGCTTGTTCCTTCTCCTCTGTCAAACACTGGTTTTTTTTCCCCTTCAGTCCTTCCTAAGTTTTACTTGGAGAAAAAAAATGAAGGAACTGTATTTTTTAATCCCAGTTAGTGTGCCAAGAAATGCCAGCGTTCTGTGCATGGTGGCCTTATTACTGATGGCATTCGGGCTCCCTAAATAACATGTACCAGGATTCAGGGGATGGAAATCTGGTTGTTGCAGCCCACGTGAAAACAGCAACTATTTCTTCTGTTTCACGCATTTCTCAGTGTCCCAGTGGTCATTAATACTGAAAGTGTCATTTCTAAATGAGCAGAAAGACGCCCAGCAAAGCCTTGGGATGAAAAGGATGTTCCCCACACCATTTAACGTAAAATTAAACTGGAGGGTGAGACAATTAAATCCCATTACATCACAGGCAAATTCCAAGCAGGGAGAGTGAATTTCCATGGGCAGCTCACAGGACTGAATTTTTGCCCCCAGACCATGAGCATGTTCTGGTAAATCTCAGTAACTGTGGGCACAGGGAAGCACAAGCACACAGGAGACCTGCCCAGGAAGGAGCTCATCCCAGGATAAGCCACCAGAGGCAGAGGTGACCACAGCAGCTCGAGAAATGCTCAATATCTGCTCAAAACCCACAAAAATAATAAAAAACAATGAAAGCAAAAGACTGATTTTCTGTACAAGCTGTTTATAACTTAAAGATTTTATTCCCTTCTGCTTGATTTGTGACAAGAAGTTATTCCAGCCTGGTTTTTTTAGCCTCCCATAAAGTAGTACAAGGTTTCTTTGTAGTTCCCGCTGTACCCCTCTGACTGCACATTGAAGTTACGCTGGCTGACGTTTGCTGGTGACAGGCAGAACAAAAATATTATATTTTTTTCATTATATTACACAACATCTCCTGCAGCAGATGCCAGGCAAGCTGCACGATGTTTATTGTATCCATTACAGCCCTAATATTGAAAATTTCATGTGAAAACCTCTATAAGCGTCCTGTGCTATGTAAGTTTATAGATTGTACTGTTAATTCCTGAATGGCAGGCACTTAAAATAATTTAGGAAATTACACGTACTAGGAATTATTTTATTGGCCTGCACTGAGGCAGGACAGGACACATTTCTCAGGTTTATGACATTACATGAATTCAATAACTGATTTTTAATTGAATTCAGAAAGAACTCCAGATAAGCAAATCAATAACTGTAAAATGGTAAATATTCCCTCTGTTCAGCCTGGGGTAAAAATGTGGCTGTGCCCCTCATTCTGTGCCTCTCCTGCTGGGGAAGCATCCAGAGCTACACTCACTTTTCCTGGCTCCGAGTCAGCTTCTCATTCCCATACAAGGCCTTGGTTTGTATTTCCAGGCAGTGGGTTGAATCCACAGCTATATCAAACCTGGATTCTCCATAGTCCTCTGGGATAAAGCAGTCCAGAAGGCCTTGGAAGGAGCAGAGGAGAGCTGGAGACAGGGAATTTTCAGCCTGTGGAAAAGTCCTCTGGAGAACAGACACATCCAAAACTCTGCAAAACCCTGAAAACCCCTTCTGTTGATGTCCTTCCTGATGTGAGCTTGTGAAGGGAACATTCCCCTTTACTCACAGCTCTATTTGTATTGATTTTATGGAAGACACAACCAGTACCATGATAGTATCACAAAATCTAAATATGGAATGTTTTTTGGCGTTACTCCCACTAAAATGTACAAACACTTTGTGTTTCTCTTTCCTCTGTTCCTGTCGCATGTGAGTGAATGAAAACAATGTAAAACTCCCACTCTGGTAACAAAACAATAACAATAACACCCATCACTGTCTCTCACGAAATACTGCGACTAATCTAACCTTGGCAGCTTCTCCCTTCTTCCAAGGAGCCTTCAGCTTATCTCACCTGCCAGAACTCAGCTGCCACATCCCACCTGCCATAAAATCTTCAAATCTCAGCATTCCCTCTCCTCTGAGGGGATCTCACAGGAGGTTCAGGGTCCATCTGCAGCCCTTGTTCTCTGTGTTGTGGCTGGACCAAAAATAACAGATGCCCACAAAATTTCTCCCTCATAAAAACCTTTGATAGCACCTCTCCATACCCTCCTTGTTTAAAAATTACTCCGGCACAGAGGCAAATAATATTTATTTCTATAATAAAACCAGGCCTGGAGATTCTTCTATACTCCAGCACACAAATGGCAGGGATATCCTACCAAACACAGTGTACTGAGCTATCACACAGATCTCTAAATAGCTGGTTGTATGAACTTACCTGAACCCTGTGTCAAATGAACTGGCCTCAAAAACAAGCTGCACAATTGTGTGAGTGCTCACACTGCTGACTCAGGGATGCGAAGAGGCTTTGCGTGGGTCCTGTGTTGAGTGGTCATCCATTACACGGAAAAAACGCTTCTTCCCTAAAATGTTGAAGGTAGAGCTCATCTTACTCCAGCTCTGAATAGGCTTTTCCTCCAGTACCACAGCACATTTGTTATAATGCACTAATATATTAAATAATTTAACCTGATCAAACAGGTAAATAGTGCTCCATCTCTGGTTGTGCACAGTCACTGTTCCATGAAAAGCAGACGCTTGCAATGGGAATCCCCACAGCAATTATACACCAAGAATATTTAACGTTTACCATCACGTCTCTCTCATTAACATGATTTGTCTCACCAGCACTTTGCTGAACATCCAGGTACAGCTGCCTGTGACACTTTGTGCCTCTGAACAGGCTCGGGTCGAGGCAGCCGAGGGTGAAATTAGGCTGATGTAAATGGGGAAGGTTATGTGACGCTGTTGAAATGAGAGGCTGAGAGACAGAAGGATCAATTTTCCTTTGCATCCCGTTTTTTCCACGCATACTGTGCTGTTGCAACCCTTTTGCTTCACACCCTCTGGCATCCTCATTGCACAGATAAATCTGAAGGTATGGATTTTAAGGGACATACCTGCTGCTCGCTTACAAGTCCTTTGGGACAAAGCTGCTCAAGAGGTGACAGGATTCCTGTGAGGACATGACAGGGAGGGACAAGGAAAAGAGAAGGCGAGATTATTCTACGGGGGAGCAGACAAAATAGGGTGAGCAGGGGTGCAGGAGAGGAGAAACAACCCTGTGGAGAACATGAGGGACCAAGAGGGAAAGGGTCTATTTAGAAGGGCCTTACTGGCCAAGTGGGTGAAGCTGGAGAGTGAAACCCTGAGGGGGAATGGTGGCCTCACCCTCCCTCGGGGTGAGGCGCTGAGGGAGCAGCTCCGGGGCTTGAGGAAACGGTGGCGGGAGATGGGGAGCTGAGGGGAGCGGACATTGCCTGAGGGGGCGAGATCCTCTGGGGGCGACCCTGGGGGAGATGGATAAGGCGCCGAGGGGGCAATGCCGGGGGGCGTGAGGCGAGGCGCTGAGAGGACAGAACCCGGTGAGGGTGAGGCGCTTCGGGGAGCACCCTCAGTGCGGTGACCCGCTCCCCCCGGTCCGTGTGAGGCACTGACTGGACCGTCCTGTGGTGTGGGCGATGCGTTACCCCCGGTCCGTGTGAGGCACCGCGGGAAGGTCCCGATGACCCGCTCCCCCCGGTCCGCGTGAGGCGCTGCCAGGACCGTCCCTCGGTGCGGGCGGGGCGGCGGGACCGGCCCTGTGGGCGGGGCTGGGCGCGGGGGGCGGTGCCCGTCGGGGGCGTGTCCCGGCGGGGAGGGGGCCGGCTGTATTGTTCGCCGCGCGGTGCACGCCGGGCCCGCCCCAGCCCCCAACATGGCGTCGCGCTGTCAGCGGTGTGTGTGAGGCGGGCGCGGGACGCGGGGCTGCGGGGCGGGCACGGCGGCTCCCGGGGCCCCCCGCACCGCCGCCGCCGCGGTGGCAACGCGCCGCTCCTCGCTGCTGCCCGCCGCGCCCCGGCTGTCCGGCGCCCAGGCCGCTGGGGACGCGCCTGCCCCCGCCCTGCCCCCGCCATGGGCGGGTAGCGGGACCCGCCTCGCCTCAGCCCTGCGGAGCCCCCCCGCCCTCCGCGCCATGGGGTCCCCGGCGGGAGCCTCGGCGGCCGCGGCCACCGACTCGGCGCAGTGGCTGTCGGTGAAGGAGGAGACCATCTTCCTGCACGACGGGCTGATCCGGGTCACGGACCTGGCCGAGCTGCCCAGCGAGATCATTGGGGTGGCAGAGCCCGGAGACACCGAGCTGGAGGTGAGGCGGTCCCCGAGCTGAGGGGGGCTGGGGCCGGGTGAGGGATGAGGAGGAGGAGGAGCAGGAGGATGTCCTCGGGAGAGGGGACGGTGGCAGGGAGGCCTGAGGCGAGGAGGATGGGGGTGGGGGTGCAGGGAGGATGACTAGGGGAGGATGGGGGGCCGGGATGGAGGATGGGGGGCCGGGATGGAGGATGGGAGATGCGGATGCAGGACGAGCCTTCTGGGGTACGGAGCCAGCCGCTGTCGAGGCATTCTGCTTGTTTTAAGGTAGCCTAATTTATTTCAAATAATAACGAGACTGGAGCCGGGCTGGAGGGTGGCGAGGCGCTGCTGTCAATGGTGGGTGAAGTATTGG